TCGTGCTCAGTAGACAGAAGTGATAAACATCACTGAAAAATATCTTTATTCGCAAATTAGAAGAAAAAGTATTCTTATGCTTAATATTTTGTGAGACATTTTGTGAACACAGCCGTGAATATGCATATTTAGTTCTTGAGGCGTGACGTTTCACTGTTTGTATAGATATGAGTAGGCTTTCCAATATTTAGGAATGCCCCTCTCCAAACAATCTTCAGCATAAAGGAAGTGAGTCCTCTTACTCTGTAATATTAGATCAGCTATTCATAAACTTCAAGAAAGCCTATGATTCAGTTAGGAGGGAAGTACTGTACAGTATTCTGATAGAGTTTGGGGTTCCCATGAAACTAGTTAGGCTCATTAAAATGTGTTTAAAGGAAACGTACAATAGAGTCCGTGTAGGTAAATATTTGTCTGATAAATTTCCTATCTAGAATGGTCTAAAACAAGGAGATGCTTTATCGCCACTGCTTTTCAACTTGCTTTAGAATATACCATTAGGAAGGGTCAGGAAAACCAAGTGTGACTGAAATTAAACGGGACACATCAGCTGTTGGCCTATGCTGATGATGTGAATCTACTGGGTGATAATGCAGATACCATAAAGAAAAACACACAAACTTTAGTTGGCGCAAGTAAAGAGGTTGGTCTAGAAGTAAATACTGACAAAACTAAGTATATGTTGCTGTCTCATCACCAAAATGCAAGGAAAAATCATGACATAAAGATAGGAAACAGATGTTTTGAAAAGGTGGCACAGTTCAGATATTTGGGAACAATGATAACAGATCAAAACCTGATTCAGGAGAAAATTAAGAGAAGATTGAACTCGGGTAATTCTTGCTACCATTTAGTCCAGAACCTTTTGTCTCCTCGTCTGTTGTTCAAAAAGTTAAAAATTAGAATACAAAAATTTTAATTTTGCCTGTGGTTCTGTATGGATGTGAAACTTGGTCTCTGACATTAAGGGAGGAACATAGACTGAGGGTGTTTGAGAACAGGGTGTTGAGGAGAATATGTGGACCGAAGAGAGATGAAGTGAGAGGTTGGATAAAACTGCATAATGAGGAGCTTCATAACTTGTACTCTTCTCCAAGTATAATTAGAATGTTCAAGTCAAGGACGATGAGGTGGATAGGGCATGTAGCATGAATGGTGGAGAAGAGGAATGCATATAGGATATTGGTGGGAAATCCAGAAGGAAAGAGACGACTAAGAAGACCAAGGTGTAGGTGGGTGGTCAATATTAAAACGGATCTTAGAGAGATAGAATGGGATGGTATTGATTGGATTGATCTGGCTCAGGATAGGGACCAATGGAAGACTCTTGTGAACACGCTAATGAACCTTCGGGTTCCATAAAATGCTGGGAAATTCTTGAGTAGCTGCAGAATTGGCGGCTCCTCCAGAAGAGCTCAGCTCCATGAGTAAGTAAATAAGTAATATTAGATTAAGGCTTCTGTACCCGAAGTTAGAGGCAGTAGGTTTAACCGTGAAGAAGGCAGAAATCTACCTATGCACACGATTGCAAAATATTCAACAAAAAGATGATTTTGAACGGTTATTTTGCTCCAAAATCTGCATATCAGATTGGTCTCAAAGAAGTACAGATACACTTAAATTTTCACAGAGTTTAGGCTCGGTAAATAACACGCACGTAACTGCTGGTCAATGTAACACCGCAAGTCGCTCATCTGTTCTTTAGGGAGATGTCAACTTTTCACTCTGTCAACAATTTTTATTCGTTTCCTACATTTTCAATAAGCGCTCCGTAACGTTTTTGATTCCGACCAATGTTGATGTTACATTTTCAGCAAAATTAATAGAATTATTATTCTCCTGAACTTGGGAGGCCTATCTTGAGGTTTTGCGATGTATCCTTTATCTCCTTTTCCTTCTTTGTGGAGGGGGGGAGGTTGAAAAAAAAATTTTTGAGATAATACCGAAATTTAACACTTCCACTACTTTTCTTTTTCATAATATTTGGGCCAACTGGGCGACGTATTCTCTTCACTAAGAACATGATTTCGAACCCCCGGAAATTTACTCGCGTCCTTTTCGTGACTGCGTTGTCCTGTGTAGGTACAGATCTTGAAGTGGGAGGATCCGCTTTAAATTTTCAATTTATTGATTATAATATTCAGAAGTGGGTCCTGACTTAGAATATGCAAATAGACGGAGGAGTAATTATTGAAGAATAACAAGATACTTATATATTGTGACGTGTCGCGCTAGCTGGACGCTATCTTTATCTATATCTATATCTTTTTCAAATTCGCCAATATTTGCAATACATCATTACACCTCCCAGCACCTTACCATTTTCTTCTGTAGGGGTCTCAAACAAAAAAGACGTAGAGTTCCGTCTTCTGGGATATACAGCCTTGTAGGCCGTTGCAAGTTAACAGACATTTCGGAGGAACATATCTACCCTATCTTCTTACTTACTCATGGAGCTGAGCCCTTCTTGAGGAGCCGCCAATTCTGCAGCTACTCAAGTATTTCCCAGCATTTTATGGAACACGAAGATCCATTACCGTGTTCACAAGACCCCTCCACTGGTACCTATCCTGAGCCAGATCAATCCAATCCATACCATCCCATCCTATCTCTCTAAGATCCATTTAATATTGTCCACCCACCCACGCCTTGGTCTTCCCAGTGGTCTTCTTCCTTCTGACTTTCCCACGAATATCCTATATGCATTCCTCGTCTCCCCCATTCGTGCTACTTGCCCTGCCCACCTCATCCTCCTTGGCTTGATCATTCTAATTATACTTGGAGAAGAGCGCAAGTTATGAAGCTCCTCATTATGCAGTTTTCTCAAACCTCCTGCCACTTCATCTCTCTTCGGTCCAAATACGTATTCTCTTCAACACCCTGTTCTCAAACCCCCTCAGTCTATGTTCCTTCCTTTATGTCAGAGACAAAGTTTCACATCCATACAGAACCACAGGCAAAATTATAGTTTTGTATATTCTAATTTTTATGTTTTTGGACAGCAGACGAAAAGACAAAAGGTTCTGAACTGAATGGTAGCAAGCATTACCAGAGTTCAATCGCCTCTTAATTCCCTCCTGAATCAGGTTTCGATTTCTCCTCCACCTTCAGGAAGAAAAATAAGCATAGCATGTAAGCGTAAAATCAGGTGGCAAGAAGACCAGATATTTTTTTCAGAAACGTCGGTTGACTGTCAACGGACTACATAGAGTTATGTCCCAGAAGATACTACTCTTCATAACAACCGGGGTTGAACCTCAACTCCTACAAAACAGACGTATACAGATAGATACAGGATGCAGCAATCCTGTGCGCGACTTGCACATAAACTCCACTCCATTTTTTATATTTATTCCATATGTAACAATTTTAATAAACAGACACATAAAATACAAACGAGACGAAAATAGGGGCTTATTCATATCATTGGCAGAAAAGTCTCGGAGTTGTTTTTCTGACGAGAGTAAACCGACAATTTTCAAGATCCATCGAGCGTGTTGTGACATGCGCACCTGCTGCTGGGCAACGAGTCGATAAACACATTCCCGCACAAGCATTACGTAGGCTGGGGAACGTGCTGTAAATACAAGAATAGAGGAAGAAGTGTTTTCTATGTGGCTTTCATATAGCCATTGCTAGGCAATGGCTATGTTTTTTAAAATATTACGGCGCATTCCTTAGTCACTTCTATAGTGTACTGTCTCTGTATTGTACTTAAGTTGTCGTGACATTGCTCGAGGTAATATTAGGCATTTGCCTGAAGCGTTACGGGAACATCATAAAGAGACCTGTAAGGCTAATCAACATCCAGGGCTACATCTGACATCTGAACCTGCAGAATGTGAAACAGGAATTTCAAAATTTTTCGTTCGGTAACATCACAAAAATTACGAATTGGGAAATGACAGAATTTAATATGTAACAAATACAAATTTGGTAATTTGTAAAAGATTAGGGCATTTCGGAAATTTCGGATCGTGTCCGAATTCGAACCCCTGCAGTGCACTAATTTACTCGGAGATTATGAAGGGAGTGGAGACAACTTTAAGAAGTAATAAAGAAATGAATTATAGTATTTTGAAACAATATAAAGTGCCAAGCTAAGTTCATGAAAACATTTTGAACCAAAGCACCAGGCTCTTACGTCAAAGAATAATTTAAATTTGATCATCTGGTATACAAATTTTATTGGGCGATTCAGTTGACTTCAGAATTCACATCCATATGATAACTGAATTAGAACTATCAGCAGTAAATTTCTTATATCAACACAACCCAAAACTAAACCTTAGAAGATATTCAGATATTTAAAAAAATAAACCAAAAATATAATTTTCCATGACGGAAACAAATGCCTAAAATTTGTAAACCAAACCAGTAGCCTAATGGACTTTTTGTCGGCTTAGACTTCGATCATGCTCTTACAGATAATCTTTTAATACTGTCAGTGTTAACACAGAGATAAACATTGAAAAAAAACATGAAGATAACTTTTAAAATTACTTTGGGTATCCGTTCATACAAGAATCCCGATAAGCATGACGTAAAATATGAAAAATAACTTAAAATACTGCCACCGCTCACTAACCGCATTTGAACAAAAAAAATCCCTTAAATATTCTGTCCAACTGAAATATAAAACCCGTAAATCGTTACAATCAATATTAATTAATTAATTAACTACAAGTATGAATGACTACTTCTGTTAACCACAGTTTGTTTAGTACATGATACATATAAACCGTACCAGAAAATGTTATTTTATTTTTTATACTGAATGTACAATTGAAAGGTGGTCCAAAGGATTAATGCATTTATTCAGAACAATGAAGCGCACCTGACGCCTCCTTTACTAATGCTCCTCTATGCATCATATTCAGTACAATATAAAATACGATGTTTTCAATTTCAGTGCAGTTTAAATGAACCAATCTCTGCGACAAGTGATATTGTAATATAATAAAATCAATAAATTGTGTATTGCAAAGATTAGTACTCACGGCCAGAGTTCCTGAATGCCTAGAGAATGCAGTACACTTGGCAGAGACGGCAAACTGTGGCACAGAGACAGGTCAATCCGAGGGTAGTACATTGCGAACACAAGACACATCTCCTCGCGTGTCGTCAGGCCACCAAGGGTGATTGTGGTGCGTCCCTCGCTGTTGTATACACACTGGGCTATCAGGTGATCACCCTAAAGAGAAACACAGATCTTTGCCGGACTAAAATTAAACGAGACACATCAGCTGTTGGCCTATGCTGATGATGTGCATCTACTGGGTGATAATGTAGATACCATAAAGAAAAACACAAAACTTTAATTGACGCAAGTAAAGAGGTTGGTCTAGAAGTAAACACAGAGAAAACTAAGTACATGTTGCTGTCTCGTCACCAAAATGCAGGGCAAAATCATGACATAAAGATAGCTAACAGATGTCTTGAAAATGTGGCACAGTTCAGATATTTGGGAACGGCTATAACAGATCGAAACCTGATTCAGGAGGAAATTAAGAGGCGATTGAACTCGGGTAATGCTTACTACCATTCAGTCCAGAACCTTTTGTCTTCTCGTCTGCTGTCCAAAAACATAAAAATTAGAATATACAAAACTATGTTTGCCTGTGGTTCTGTATGGGTGTGAAACTTGGTCTCTGACATTAAGGGAGGAACATAGACTGAGGGTGTTTGAGAACAGGGTGCTGAGGAGAATATTTGTACCGAAGAGAGATGAAGTGACAGGAGGTTGGAGAAAACTGCATAATGAGGAGCTTCATAACTTGTACGACAGTTACAAATACAAAAGTTTTCAGTTTTGAGTGACAGAGTTCTGAGTTCTGAATTCTCGACTTTTGAAGATTTAAAGAGCAGTTAGAAGAATTCATTCAAGTGTAATATTTGGAGTCCTTTAAAGTGCTAGTTCCAGTGTTTTAAGTGTGTTACCAGGAGAGACCAGTTTGAGGGTAAATAAAAAACAAAGCTGTGTTTAAATGTGATTAATGGAGACTGTAACAAAAGTGCCAATAAATCCAATCATCCGAAATAGAACCCGTCATTCTCGTCACGCGTACCCCCCACACGTGACAATATAAAAGTATGAAAATTGTCTTGTAAGCGGCACAGCCGAAATAAACCTATGCTTTTTGGGTCGGCCTGAATTGACGCCAAAGCGTCAGACACAAGACACAAGAGATATTTGAAAATGGGCAAGGAAAATGAAACACATTGCATTCATAAGATTTACAAACAATAATTTTGTTATAAGAAATTAAAATGCGTCTTACGCGTTTGTACTTACCGGATAAACTGTTACAGGTTTCTTCAATCGTCGATAAACCTGGTGGTTATAATCATAATTGTCATCCACGGATACAAATGGAAGTTCTTCCCCACGTCTGAGATGGCGGAGCCGAACTTTGTGACCTGAAGTGTACAAGGAATTATGTCTTTGCATAATCACATTTATTAACACCTTAGCGTCGAGAGTAGGGGAATAGTGAACTGGGTGCAGTGTGCAAGAAAGTGGACATATTCACATATGACTGCTATCCCTGCATTTTTGTTGAAGAACTGATGACCATTACAAATTCAGGTTTTCGGTGTTCTGGCAAGGATTCGAAACTGGCACCTCCCTGAGAGAAATGAGGAGCCATATTTCTGTGAGGGGTGGGGGCGTGGGCTGAATTTATCTGCCTTATTTTGTGAACGGAGTAATGAACTTATGAGTACACGAGGAATTTTTCGACGTGCTTAGCAACAGTCATGTTCTCAAATAGAATTCTGCTTCATGGAGTTAAACATTACGACAATAGTAAAACTATCATACAACGCTTTGAAATTCTTCTATATACTCGCATAAATAATTTAATGTCCTTTCCTTATCAGCTGCAACGAGTTGGCAGGAACGCCGATGGGCGCGCCACTTGATGGCTTGTCGGTTCTCTCGGTATCAGTCATAACAAGTTGGCTGGAATACCGGTGATGGCGTGACTGACTGTTTTCTGTGGACGTTGCCCGGATTTTAGCCTTGGCATATTGCTAGCAATATTTAAAAACTTAATTCCTACCCACCACAAAACATATAACAGTCAGAAAGAATATCCTGCAAATTATGTTTAGGAAAAGAGTTGTTGATTGTTTCGTGAATCACATGAAACATATTAACTCATCCTGCCAGCAAAATTCAGAGTGTTCGAAGTTAAAGCAGGTGGAACCCATAGTCCTCGCTATGATTTATAGGACAGAAACGATATTATTAAGCATGAGCATTCTTATGTCGTACTACACACAAGCAGATAAGCGCCGAAATTTCAACTGAACGATGGCTCTGGTTCAATCCCAGGATAATTCGTGTGGGATTTGTGATGGATAGAGTTGTACTGGGGCAGGTTTTATCCTAGTATGTCGATATTCCCTACAGATTTTCATTCCAACCATTGTTAATGCAGTAGGACATTTGCAGCATGATTGGCACTGACTGTCATCCCGCCCTAAACAAAAATAAAATAAAACCATTAGGGAATATCTTTATACACGCGAGTGGATGATTCCTAAAGCCAGATTTGTTTCATGCTTTTCATGTTTAACTGCTCAACTGTCGATGGCAGAGTGTTCCAAACCTCTTCTTCAAAGGAACTCACTGTAAACAAATGTAGAAAGGTTCAACTTACCGATGAGATGAGTATGCAATATGACTGCAAACACTTTGATACCCCGGTGAGGCACCGTCTGCTGTGTGCAGGCCGATATGCAGTGTCCCTCAGAAACAACCTCCGGCTGCCCGGGAGGGATGATGTGACGCCAGTTAGGATCCATCCCCACAGAGAGCACCCCGGCGTCGTGACGTCGCAATGATTCTGTGTAGTAAACACGTATGCCCGAAGTGTCTCTGATATCGACGTCTTGGGCCGGGTTATTGTAATGCGTCTCCATCATGAAGTATTTGGGCCCCAGGACGGGGTCCAGAGGGTACCCTGCTTCCGGCGGGAAAGTAAAGCCCTGAGAAAAGTAGGAAAGTTTAAAAACTATTGTTAAGGCATAGAATAGAAATTCGAGATTTGAGATTCAGTATCAAGACCTCTGTCTTCTTATATGTGAAGCTCCGTACATTGGTCGGAAGGTTCCACCAAAATGTGTCAGGTCAAGAGAACTGCAATCTTGATGTTATAAAATAACTTATCCCAACAACAGAAAGGATCCGTAGTCTTGTACCTTACCTGTACAACTGCTTCATTGGGCGTGATAGACGGGGGACAAAGGAAGGCTGGAGAAAGGTGCATGAGGAGTGGCTTGAGCGAATATAATTATTTGGCGACCTATAACAAGAAAAATAATTTACAGGCTCGTGGGAAAGGAATGTTGGATAATGGAAGCAAGAAATAAGACAAGAATTACAACTGATTTCTTGAGGCTAATGGCAAAATATTCTTGGATGAACCGAAAAAGAATAAAGTAGCGTCAAAGAGACTAAAAATAGGAACACATATTGCATAAAGTTTCGAAATAAAAACCAGTTAGATTCAGTTTGTTGGCAGAATGCAAAGAAAAGTACTTTCAACAATATTGGGCAACTAAAAACCAAGTAGAAAAATTAAACTTGGAATAGTCTTTCGAATGCACTGTTGGGCTCAGGGAGCAAGGGGTCAAAGATAGTCCAGTTCCCCGAAAGACGGGGGTGGTGATGATAACTAATTTCTAACAATGTTTCTTGACATATTTTCCCCCCCCCCTTGGCACTACAGCCCCAGTGGGCCTAGGCCTACCTCCATGAACTTCTCCGTTCACTTCGGTTTTTCTAGATCTTACACATACGGTAGGACTCCTTGGGCGGGTGATCAGCTCGTCGCAAGGCCTCTACCTGTATACAAACACAGACAACAGCACACACACAAACTATACATCCATGTCCTGAGTGGGATTCGAACCCACGATCCCGGTTTCCGAGCGAGCGACGACAGTACATGCCTTAGACCGCTCGGCTACCGTGGCCGGCAGTGCATAAGAATAATATATAAGAATTCAGTTCGTACCTCACAGGAAACAGATCCGAACCCACGGTCCCGGTCTCCAAGCGAGCGAAGACAGTACATGCCTTAGACCGCTCGGCTACCGTGACCGGCTTCTTGACATATATCTATTAAAATTTACAAAGTATATGGATCAAGAAACCTCGAGGGCCTTCTGAGAAATCATTGGCACAACTAGACATACTACGTAGTATATTTTCAAATAAGTTGCCCAATTCCCTTCCCGATAGATCGTGACTGTGGTGGTGCTGCTGTTGATGATTATTAAAATGGTGTTCAGGTTACTTCTGAATGTAGTGAGGAAACCTTTCCTCCAAACTACGCGAACTACTACGAGAAATTCCTTTATTTGCTTTCAGAGCAGAAAGCTTACTGAATATTCGCTTCACACTCGGCTTGCGTTTTCCGAACTTGTTCCCAGAGAATACAAATATTTCAGCAGGCCTATTTTTATTTGTTAACTGTGATTGAGTTTAAAACCCCATTTCAATAAAATGAAATACCCTGGTCCATTCCTCTATTGATTCCACATGCCTGGGCCTGTCTGTGTGAAGGTAGGTACATGGAAACAGGGAGTCGCTGAAAGGGAAGGTAATCATTCCGGATGTACAGAGGTTCCGGACTCAGCAGAATACTTCAGAGTTTGTGCGTCAACCCATTGAGTGAGAAGACAAGGGAAAGACATTCCATAGAACGAACTGGAACAACTGAGAAGTTCAAAGGCAATAAGACGAAAAAAACTGACGCTTCCTGCAGGAACTAGTGGCTGCTTTCCTCTGTGTCTTCACAGCGATTAACGCTACTGTTTTAGCACTGAAGTTTCACGTACAAATAAAGGTTCGATTTGAATTTTTGCTTATAAGAATTCTGTACGGAAAAGACGAACTATATTGTCACGATGCTGTATATGAATCGGTCTGCGGATCCAGCAATAGGAACATGTCTGACGCATTAATTTGTAAGATGAGTTCGACATTAGCGTCAGTTAATCTAATTGTGGAATGATTTATGGCAATACGTTGCTGAAAAATATGCAGCTTATATCGGAGCACTTCCTTCTTCTACGAGAAAATAACAAAATGGCTGCAATATGAAATATGTATTTAACTTCCGATTTCATTGCCACGACTAATAAAGAATTAATGAAGCTGCGCATGCGTACATCGTACATATGCCTTATGCATGGATTGTTGCTTATAAGCCAACCTCTATAAAGCAGCGATGACGCAGGATCGTGGGTTACGTCACGTAACTTGTATGTCGACTGAACCTGTGTGACACTGTAATTCGTTGCTGTATTGAAAATTTGTTATTTTCTGAATATGGCATTTACATTATAAGATTTGTAGGATCAGTACTGTGTGCAAAAGAGAAGTAGTCTTTAAGTGTTGGCCACGGCATTCTTCTTTTCCGTTGACTTTGAAATACGAGACTGATCTTGAATTTAACTAAATAACACATACATTTTGGATAAACTATGTACAAACAGACGATCGATTACGAACGAGAAAAAGATTGAAGAAAGCAGTCTTTTGGGATTTGGCACCGTGTATAAGTGGTGTTAAATCTTTACATCTTTACTTTTCACAAAGGAGGTTCACTGTTAGTGTGATAAAATCAAGGAAAATAACATAGGCTGGTCTTGTAGCACGCATGGAATATAAAAATTGGACATAATATTATGACTGGAAAACATGAAGGAAGGAAATGCATGGGCGAAGAAGCTGCAGCAGCTATTACTACCACTACCACTACCACTACCACTACCACTACCACTACTACTACTACTACTACTACCACTACTACTATTACTGCCACTACCACCACCACCACTGCTGCTGCTACTACCACAATTTCAAACGACATTATTACTACCACAACAATAACTACTACCACTCGCCACTTCCGCTATTGTTATTGCTGTCAGAACTGCTACATCAACACTACTACTACCACCAAAATAACTACTACTCTTATTCTTACTACTACTACTACTACTACTACTACTACTACTACTACTACTACTACTACTACTACTACTACTACTACTACTACTACTACTACTACTACTACTACTACTACTACTACTACTACTACTACTACTACTACTACTACTACTACTACTACTACTACTACTACTACTACTACTACTACTACTACTACTACTACTACCGCGACCAAAGCCACCATCTTGCAACTTGAGCAGGGGAAGCAGCAATACCTACACTGGCCCCGGCAGCCCAGGCGATGATGACGCTGTTGCAGCTGGAGAAGAGAATGGACGGCATGTTTGGCTGGTAACACAACTGTCCCCTGTCCCGGGCATGAACTCCGAACTCTTCCTCACTGCCCTGACACTCATATACGATAATATTACTGATGTATGCACGCCGATGCGCCTGGAACAGCGGCTCGTACTGGAAAACAGAAGAGTAGAGGGACCCGTTACTGAGCTGCAGTGCGAGTCACTGCCGAGTCTACAGGAAGCACTGGCAAGCAAACAAATACTGAAATATGGGGCCGTCCTGGACATACGGCAATATTTCTGATTAGAGCTTCGTCCAAAGACGAGCCTCCAGACCTAACTCTCATGAGCGAAATTCTTGTTGAGAAGCTGACAGTATCTGTTTTGGGCACGGTTCCTAAATACTGAACGTTCTTATTATGTTCGTAACAGATCTTTTATTCTTCCTTTCCGGAGCCATTTTAATCCACTATATATTAGCATAAGTTTTCGTGTTAATCTCGCATTAACAAGGTCTGTCAGACGGTATTTTCACTTCAGTTTTGTCCATCAAAACTTCAGAATGGACCATGTACAAAACACCGTTCCTCTGTTGCATGCGTATCCGTTTTTTACTTACTGTTGCGCAGAAAAGGTCCTTGTTTACACGCACATCCCGCGATCGTTGCATAGCAACGGCTCTACGCGCTACATTATCTTTTCGATTTTTTGCTCTTTGCCGCAGGTCCTTCTATGTGTTGTTGTGTGTAATCCTGTGAAATACGTGTTAGTGCATGGGGCGAGCCCACCACGGCGTCTGACACACTACCAAGTTACTGGTCACCTTACAATACAAAAGGGACAATATAGAAAATATTGTAACGAAACCACCGAAGGATCTTAAAGGGGATACGCATTGTGGGACGTCAATTTTGTCGTGTAGCACAATAAAGAAATTATGAGCAGAGTGAACTCACATATGGAATGGAATCTGTGTACTTACAAAAGCATAATTTAATGTTAATATGTAAGCGTGAGACTTACCCTAATCATATGATGTTTCCGTCTCATGCGTGGGAGCCTGAATATTTGACACCAGTAGAAATTATCGTCAGGGATAGTCACTGACACCTGAAATTTGAAACAAATTATTATTAATCCTTTAAAATGCACATTGGAAACTATAAGCAGAACCACATCCTGGTTCAACTTTAAAAGTTTAGACATCTTGTCTCAAAGATATTTACATATATTGCAAAAATCTAAGTATAAGCGATGATTTTTTAAAAGGAGACGCATCGTAAATCTCTGTGAAGCATCACCAAAATTGGAGTTATTTATTACTTCTACGGTTTAAAACTGACTCCTTGTTTACTGATCTATCTTGGTGCATTATATAACTGAGGAGCGCTACATTCTTGGGTGTGACACTGAGTAATCTGGTAAAAATTTACCGAAGTTTTGTAGCAACAAGCTGCACCCATCTTCGTGGTGGAAGAATAGACCATAAATGGAAGAAGTGTTATCATTATAAGAAGGGGAAACCCCACAGTCGGTCTATGTGACTAAAGACAAAGGGATAAGATTTTGGGGCCTTCCAAAGGATGTAGTAACAAGTAGGTAGATGGGGAAAATGTCTGTCATTCGTTCTCCTACTTCCTTACCACCGCCTAACAAAGTCCCAACTCTGCAGATGGAGGCAACACTTTCCTCCGAAATTCGGTTGACACATACCGGACTGCACTGTGTCACACCTGAGATGACAGTAGCCCCCATTGTCCTCACCGTGACAACTCCGAGTCTGTTCTTATGAGGGCTAAACAAAATGATTACGACTTGGGTCTTCCGTAGCCTGAAGATAGTCTCACAGTACGAGCACGTCCCTTCTTAAGGGAGATGGTTCCTCTTAAGAGTTTCTCAGTTAATTTAACGGCGCTGTTCAACAGAAGAATTTACATGATGTAACTGGCAGTACATCACAGTTGTGGAATTGTGGTTTATTATACTCTGTGGTTTGATCAGGTGGTTCAGAACTCGCGGAGAAACGCATTGCATCCATTTGAATTATACGATGTCTTAACCCGGAAGCAGCATATAAAATTTCATTTGGCATTGTCCATATTTGACAGCGGTAATGAATAGGACAGAATTTCTAAAGCACTGTATATGTCTCCAGTTGGGTTGCAAGAACATCTAAAGTATGGGAGATTCGAATTGGAAACAACTGGAAATCACAGAATACTGGGAAATTCTAGGTAATACAGGATATTCTAGGTAATAGAGGACACAATGTTTTGGAAACTGGATCTGTTTCCGTCTTCAGATGAGAAAGGAAGACACCTACTCAGTTGAGCCCCTTAGAACGAGATAATCTCAATCATTGATCCAGTGAAGACGGAAAAAGATGCAGTTTCCGAAACGTCGTTTCCTCTATTACCCAGAATTCCAGACGATGGACAAAGTCCAAAAACCCAGTAATTCTGTGTGTCATCCACCATCGTCAGAAGCCTTTAGAATCCACAGGCAATCAATTCGATTTCTTTGATTCTGGTCCGTCACACTAACAATATTAAAAAAGATTAATTCATTTGGGCAGAGGAAACAGAAGGTACACGAGCCAATTTCGTTTAAAAACTTCAACATTTTTAAACATACTAACTGTAATAAATATTTTAATTTGTTGGTACAAGCAGCTGTAGTTGTGAAAAGACATTAGTTTAGTACACTGTATTATGATGACATTGTATGTACATATTAATATTCAACAAAACATATTTTAATAATGGTTTATTATTGCATTGATATCCTTCTTGAAGTTGGTCTATAGGACCGAAACACGTAAAGGATAAAAGATTAATAAGAAAACCCATCAGTCACACTGGAAGGAATTAATTAACCTTTTGTAACATTGGAAATCAAGTTCAGAGTGTCGTCACTACAAGGATTTGATCACTAAAACAGAAATAAAGCAGCTGGAGCGTGAACCTCAGTGTCTTGATTTGTTGTTACTTAGAAAGCGTAATAACCTCACGTCCATATTAAAAAAAGATGTCTCCTCGCATTGCCTTCGAGGGATGTTTTACAGAACTGTGTGTATAATACAGTTTTCTTGGTTTCACGCTGACAGTGCCTAAGCCAGGCAGTTCTTCAGATGCAAACAGTCGCTCAGCTAGTCAAGAAAGTCCCTTGGGAACTAAACGTTTTTTTTAATCGTGTTCACGAAAGTCCGCCACTCCCGTCTGTTCTGACCTAGTTTTATCCAGTCCACAACCTCACACCCTGTTACTTGAAGATGAGTGTAAACGCGGAACCTATCCTTCAATCTATGTCAAACAATCTGTTCCCTCAAGACTTTCCTTCTAAAATCCTGCAATATGAATGTCTCATTTTTCCCTATATTCTCCGACCATATTATTCCTTCGGATTTGATTATACAAGCAAAATTTTGTGAAGATAATACTGTATGAACTTTTGTTCTGCTTCCATTTCATTGCTCTCTCTTACAAGGGAATGGTCCGGTAAAATGGATACAGTGTGATGAAGTGTTGGTGCTGATAGCCCAACAATACCCCGTTGAAATTTCGACGTCGTTTATGTTAATACATCTTCATTCAACAATCACATTTCCTTCTTATTCATGTTGTTCTCTTCAGTGATACACTCTATGACAACGAGACAAGAGAATGAGGGATGCTGGAACAACACAGGTATATTACTGAAGGCCTAGGTTACAGGAATGGATTAACCTCTGGCACTGTTGTCAGGTCACAGAAATGTGGCACTCATATATCGACATACGCTACCACGTCACAATTGTCTTCAACATCGTAACGTCAACACTTCGTAAATAACTCTACATGTGACACGTGGCGTGTGGAAGTGTGCAGAATGACGCAAGTCCTTGGACGTGGAATCACATAAAGTCAGCCATTCAGTGGTTGTGTAGTAGCGAAGCGAATGGTTAAAATATTCGTGTAAAGTGGACAAGCTGCTCACGGTAGCCGAGCGGTCTAAGGCATGTACTGTCTTCGCTCGCTTGGAAACCGGGCTCGTGGGTTCGGATCTGGTTCCTGTGAGGTACGCACTGAATTCTTATATATTATTCTTAGACACTGCCGGTCACAGTAGCCGAGCGGTCTAAGGCATGTACTGTCTTCGCTCGCTCGGAAACCAGGAAACCACAGAAAGAGAAAGTGGACCTACCGACAATGTCAGAAGATGTCGCCTCATTTCTGCCTAAATCTAGTGCTGTATTCTTAACTTTGGAAGACTAAGGGTTGAGGGAGAGGTAAGAGGGGAAGAAACAGCAGTACATTAGAAGGACCCAGGTTTGACCAGCTCTTCCGTTCCATAATGACAGTATAAGACTGAAGACGTTAGACTGAAAAGAACTAGTGGCTTCTCAATGAATTGCACCATTAGGAAGTATATGTTGGTGGAGTCAACAGTTGAAACGCGGACGCTTGTGTCAGAAGCACGCAGAAGGGTCAGACGAAGAAGAAGGAACAAAAGTTGAGGGAGGCAGGAGATTGTGAAAGACACTGCATTTTTACAGGAGAATATTTGATAGAAAATTTTCTGCCCGGGTTCCCAAGCTTTGTCCTCTCATTCGTTCCGGTAAAGGTAGATTACAGTAAGGGTAAGGCTTTCATGAAGTGAATAAGGTAAACAGGAAGGAAGTGTATTGTTTTCTGGTTATAAATTTAAGTAAATAAGATTAGGAGGATATTTACTGCGTTACGTTGTAATTTTGATATTACGACTGGGAGGGGGGGACTACAAGGCAGCATTTTTGCATCAGCAGAGGGAGGGTTGCATATGAAGCTTCCAGTGTAGTGTCGAGTTTGAATCCTGTTTCATGCAGTTACTTAGTTAGCGACAATAAAAGGAACGCTTTCGTGCGTCAAGAAACAAGGCTTGGCTTTAACGTCTAATATTTAGGAGGTGTTTGGTTCGAAGCTCAGCTAGGTAACAACTATTATAACTGAGGTTTGTCATGATTTTCTTTAGTCTGTCCAGGCATATACCTGCATTGTGCCACAATTACCAGATGACTATTCTTTCAATTTTTTTCCTAATTCGTCATTAACCAGTCATCTAATTTTGGAGCCTTTGTAGGTTTGACATATTTTGTCTCAAAATAATGCACAAAAACAGAAATCGCCAAGTTGGTCGGGCCGCTGGTGGAAATATTTGTTATTTTGTACAGAAGGGCGATACGGTTTCTCCGTATGTTTATCCACTGAAATGTTTGATTATGTAATTTCAAACGTTAATTCAGAAAAATATATTACTACTGCTGTCCAAAGGGACAAATTTACAGCTAATAGTGAAAGACAGTATCATTATGAAAGGAGGCGGGCTGACGGGTACAGACGTCTTAGCATGATATAACAAAGTCTCAGTAGCTACCCGGATATTATGCTGTTATCTACGTGTTCACTTACACTTTTGGCTTCTTAAGTTTATTTTTATGTTCTGTTCCTCTGGTTCCTGAACGTTTTATTAATGATAGCCCTACTGTTGACTGATTGAAGCACATACAAAGCCCTAACACACTTCTCACTCTGAGGAGTCATACGTCGTGAAGTTCTGGGCTTGTCACTTTCTCCTCTACAGTGGGGTTTATTTACTTAAGTATAATACTGCCATTTTGTTAAACTTACCAAGTACATAATAACTCGAATGACTGGGTAACATTGTTTAAACTTGAAACTCAAGTCCTTACAATAACTGTGGAAGAGGTTTACAGGTGGCGGCAAACTTTAGACATTTCAGAACAGAGGGAATAGAGACCACCAAAGGCACGGGTGTTATTGCAGAGCTGGCGGGCGGGCCGGGCCTTAAGACAAATAGTCCCGTAATTCGTTACACTCTGGAAATACCAGTCATATTCCAACACTGCCTAATCTCTGAACAGTTTGAAGCAACAGAGAGAGAGACAGAGATTCTATTGAAAAAGGGGGGGGGGGGTGTAAGAGCCACTGCACTTTTTATGGGGGGATCTAATTGAAAATTTTCAGTACTGAAAGTTCCCAAATAGTCGAGGATAATTCTTCTGTTAAAGGAGAGTTGAGGTAAATCGCTGGGAAATGAGGAAGGTAAAGCGGTAGGATGGGAACAGTTTTGAT